CTGGGTGGAACTCTATAAATAGGGATGTAACTACTTCTTTTCAGAAATCTATGAAAAATACTATTTTGTCTTTGGACAAACCCTAGGAGGTCGATCCCCTCGAAGTGATCAAGGAGGGCCGATCCCCTCGAAGCGATCAAGGAGGTCGATCCCCTCGAAGCGATCATTATCATCCCCATTTCTCTCCTTTCTTCGATGATAAGACTTTAGGGTTTTATCATTTGGTATCAGAGCGACGATAAGACTTTAGGGTCTTATCAGTGATGCCAAGTTCGTGTAGTAGATTGGTAACCCAGTTGAGTTCTGCAACAGTGATAGTGATGACTTAATATTTAGCTTCAGTGGTGGATCTTGCGATTATGTTTTGTTTATTAAAACTTTAACTAATCAGATTTGTAATATAATATAGGTTGATGTAGATGTTCTATCATTAGTGTTACCTGCCCAATTAATATCGACAAAGACATAAAGATGAAGTGACGAAGAAAACGTATTGCAGAATACGTTTTAGTATGAACCAATACATAATAGAGGGTCGATGTATAAATTGTGATAATTTATTGACTATAAAGAAAATGTTTGGACATGAAAGAGATAAATACTACTAGAAATCAAGTATTTATTGGTATTGTATGGAATCTATAATAGGGCTACTATCATGTAATTTGAGTGACTCAATGGTGGAGATTGGGGTGATGAATTTTTTTGGCATCCTATATATTTGTCTTATTTTAAATGTACTTCTTTTGAGATAGGAAAAATCTAGAAGATTTGAACATTGCTCTTACTCTAAAAAATAGCTTAAAGTTCCTAGGTCGGAGAATCAATCTATCAATTACTTAAGAAATTACTTAATCTCCATAAAATTATTGTATATGATAATGATGTCAACTATATAAACTAATAAATATATAATAGAATTTTTTTATTATCATAGGAATAAAGAGATGTGAGATTTGGAGTTAACAAAGTCGGCTAATATAAAAAATAAACCAAGTTCAGTGTACTAGGTACTTGGAACTTGATGAAGTCTATAAATAGTTTTTCGTAATTTATAAACATTGTTTGAATATTGAAGGCGAATGAAACAAAATGGTTGTTGCATAAAGACATCTCTAATTAAAATCGACTGTAAGAAAGTATTATTAACATCTAATTAGCGTACATACTAGTCTTGAGTGATAACTAAATTGAAGATGATTCAAATTATCATTGACTTAACAACTAAAGTGAAGATCTTTATGAAATCAACACTAGGTCATTGATGAAACATTTTGGCCACTAGACGTGCCTTGTATTTGGCAATTGATTCATTTTATTTTCGCTTAATTCGAAAGATTCACTTACACCTAACGACATTTTGTATGAAATGAAATGATATAAGGGTCCATGCTATATTATGAGTAGAGCATCATATTTATCACATATGACTTTGCATTAGTATAAAGATTTTTGGACTTGGGTGATGCTTGTGGGTTCAATAAAGTTAGGTGGAGAGTTTATAGTAGCGTATATATCATGAATTTAACATGATTTGAATATGTAAATTTTGGACTCTGTTGTTATGTGATGTCCAAGCTCAATGGTATTATCGAGTCATGTTAAATGCATAAGAATTCATGAAAATTTAGTAATAAATACTTGAAAGTTAATATACTTCGATGTCACTTGGTCGAGGAAAGGACAAAGACATCAATTGTGATGCCGAGAACATTACTTCATTCATTGTTAAAGAGTGAGTTGGTGAACAAATAGATGAAAAAAATTATAAATGCGGTGAGATGTTGCTAAACTAGAGTAATAAGAGAGTACATGTCTAGAGGAAAACTATTAGTTGAAGCAGCAAGAGATACGCTTGAGGGGATTTGAGATATATTCTTGTGAACCTAAAAATGGATGGTTGTTGTAGTGGTTCACATTGCTGAATGAATAAGATTTTGAAAGGAAAAGGTAGACTCAATAAAAATAATATGATGTAAGGTTAAGGATCATAGCACCAAAAAGTATTATTATGTTCAAGGGAGTATCTGATGAAAATTCAAGACTTGCATCTTAGTATTAACTTGTGTGAAGTGGCATAACTAGAGATAATATAAATAATCAAATACTTTTACTTTTTGAATGTTTGAGATTTTATGAAATAATTGTTTAAATTGTGACTAATGTTATAGAATTAGAGTAAGCATGTGGTTAATAAGTTTGAAAGGCTATTGACTAAAAGGCTAGTGGCATGGATGCCTAGTATAAGAGGGAGAGACTAGTTTCAACTATGTGTCGATACTTTCATTCGGTAGAGTCAACTAGTTAAGGTGTGTGCGATGGTGACTTGAGATTTTATATAATATATAATAAAAAATATATTGTTAAAGCTTGATATTTACCTCCTCTATTAGAGTAAAGACTATAATGACTTTAAATTTATGTTTGAGAGGATAAAGCTATGTATATTTAGTAAAATAATATATAAAAATAAAATAAAATATGAAATTATTAAGAGAAGTGATTGGGTAGGGCCTCATATATTAGTGTAAATAAATTCAAGTAGTTTAGAGCAGAATGTGAAAGACATTCCAAAAGGTAGTATATGATTTTTATTACTAAGACAAGCATCACAATGAATAGCAATTCTACTTGATTTAGAAGTTGGAAGGGAGTAACGAGAATTTAGTTATTATTGAATGGAGGACGACGAATAAGTAAAGTGGTGATGCCACACATCGATTGGAGCAATAACTAAAGTAAGAATAATTAGGTGGGTGATTTGTGAAGCTAATAACCACTCATAGATATTATCTTTATTCTAGCCTTAGACCAAGGAGGTTTCTCTTAAATCATTTATAAGAAATGAGTCAAGAAAGTACTTAATAGAGGTGTTATTTTATTTATAAAATTGAGAGATATATTTTTTTTTTGATGTGAGGTACATATAAAATATCTAGTATAAAAGTATTTATGTATGAATTAAGTATTGCGGAACTAGTGTAAACAATAAAGATTTCATAATCGTCATCATTGATGATGTCTTCATTACCTCCATAGTGGTGTAAATAGATAAATTCAATAGATCAGAAGTCATATAATGAGAAGTACTAGAGTCAACAATCTAATTATTTGAATGATCAATCGAAGTAGTCATAATATTTGCTTGAGGTCAGTTGGGTATAGTAGTAGTCATTGGTAGAGATTGATAAAATTGTGCTATGTTATCACAAATCTAGTATATGACCTTTTATTGATTGTTATTATTAGGATGTCGGAACTACTGAGAGATGTAGTAATTATTGTTGAAATTATTTCCTAAGTTGTTTGGGTTAAAGTTACTACTATAGTTGAAGAGTTGATATTGTAATGGAAGATGATGACTCTCTATGTTACCCATGTGTCCAGGAGATATCTTGTTCGGTTTTTTATTAAAGTTCTTGTTGCTTTCATTACCCTTTTCTTTGGATTTTTGATTGAATTGAGTTGATAGTTAGTCCCGCCTTCCTCTTTTCTCATTTCAGATACGTTTCAAAATCAATCAACTTATCATATAGGATAATGGTAAGTCACGTGCCTGAATTACTAACGCTAATTTCTTATATTCATCTCTTAGGCTATTGAGAATTTGAATAATGATTAATTCATTATTCAGGGGTTTGTCTATAATAATTTTTAGATTTTACACATAATCAATAATAGTATTTTCCTTTTGTTTTATTTTCATTAGAGTAGATAAAAAAATTAGCGTGCGAGTGCAAGAATGATTGACAAAGGTAGTTTATAACTTAGACCATATGTACACTACAGTATTACATAAAGAGATTAGTGGTGCTATGGAACTAGTAACTAAGGCTTGAATAACTTACATAGATGATCCTAACATAATCATAATTTATGATTAGGATTTACCATTAACGTTAGTTCTCTTGATATTTGAATATTTTCGAGAATGAATAATTGAGGGAGCCATCGATATAGCCCAATATATCATATATGAAGAGAAGGTCAGTTCATGCATAATTGTCACTTTTGGATAGCTCGAAAAAATTAGAATAGCTACATTGATAGATATAAGCCTATTATAATGAGAAGAATTATTATTTCCAGATGAAATAGAAGCAAATTTGAAATAGATCAGATGTGGAAGAGAACAAACATATTAGATTTGATGAAGTGGTTTTTGTTGTTTGCCTTATGAACTAATCAGATTTGATGAAATGAAAAAGATATGGATGAGGATATACCAGTCAATGTAGAAAGACCGGCAATCAAGGCTCCAACAATATACGATAAAGAAGGGAGCCCATCTACTGTTGTCGATCGTGAGAGGGCGACGATGAGAATTGATGTTGATGGGAAAACCGAGAAGTGCGAAAGAAAAGTGACGAGGTAGTGGTGAGAAGTCCTGTAACCGTGTGGGATACAACAACGTTTAGCATATCTATCTTAGAGGAGAGTCACGGTGATGAGATTGAGGCTAATCTCCGACGAGATATTGGTAATGATTACCGAGCAAAGTAAAGATTGTGGAGCAAGTTTGACCAAATCTAACTTGTAAGGAAGACCATTGGGAAGACCTATGGCATGTGAAGGAGATTACTGGGCAAAACAACGAACTAATATAAGTAGATACTGTCGATGTGAAGAGCAGGTCGTGACCAACTCCGAGTGCTAATCATGGACACAAGCAATGGCCATGATGGCTAGGAGAAGAATAAAGGGAGAAAACCTTACTTAGAAAGAACGAAGCTATAATCTCATAAAGGATATTTTATTCAGATTGGTAAAGTATATTTATATAACTTTGACAAAGAGATTTTTCTTAATCATCATCAACATCATCATCATCATATATATATATATATATATATATAATGATAATT